TTTTTTTTTATTTGTTCTTTGCTGTCTTTAAGTGTATTAAAGAGTCCCTGCATTTTAATGTGCTAGACTGAAAATTGGCACATTGTTAATATATCTTTTACTATTGCCTAGATAAGAAATGAACCATGAGAAAAATTATTAAAAGTTGCCTTCCTGTAAAAATGCCTGCTATCAATTTAGTTATTCCTTCTCTTCGGGAACATTTGCATTGTGTTTTTTTAGCTAGACCATTTGTTCTTCTACAGCGGTTTGTTCTGTTAGTACCATTTTAGATGAAAATGTTCACCAAGCCTTTGGTAAAAAATTCTGTATTTTAACTTCATCAAGGTTTCTAGCTCCAAAATATCTGCTCTTGTTGCTTCTTCATGAAATCATTACTTAAAATGTATTAACACTTTAAATAGGGTGCCTCATTAGAAAGTGTTTTCTGTCTCGCCTCATCTTCTCTTCGTGTGAACTCTTCTCTCTGTCTCTTCATAGTACTGACACACCGGTGCAGGGCTGTGAAAACAGCTTTGACGTCAGCATTGACATTCAGAAGCTGATTGCAGACCAGGAGGTTCTGGAGGAGAAGAGTGAAAGTGTGGAGGCAGGCGGTGTGCTCTCCTGCCCCACTGACCCAGGGCCAGGGCAACATCCACCGAACAGACCATCTCAAAGCACACAGGGGGAGCTGCCAGAGATGGAGTGTACCACCCTGGGGTGAGTATATCTGTCTACCCATTTTCTACCCAGAGATTATGGTGCTTATATAGCACTCTTCTACTCTAACTTTAACAGAGGATTCGAAGCGCTTTTTACAGGCCACATTCACCACATTTATTCATTCAGAGCCACAACAAAGTGCACTCTGATTAATGTTTCAAGGGCAATTTGGAGTTCAGTATCTTGCCTGAGGACTATTTGACAAGGTCACATCAACATTATGCCTGATCATATTATCACAAGAAGATAAAAAAATATATATTTAGTTTCTCCCATCAGCCTTCTCAACCATTTCTCTTTATCAACAGAACCTTATCACAGGTGGAGGTGTCCTCCATAGCGAAGAAAGAAGACATGTATGAAGTAGACATGGTCAAAGATGGAAAGGTCCTTTCCTCATCTCTCAATGATGACTGTTCTGCGGTGTGTATTGTTTTGTTTTTTTCACATTTTATCACAAGTTTGCTTTATTTCTCCTTTTTTTATTGATTTCTACTGTTTAGTAACAGCATTATAAAAGCTCACTAGGTGTCTATAACGTTGCATGACTTGGACTAAACTGCATTTCAGGCTTCTGCAGACACAGGCCACCTGTCATCTATTTCAGAGAATGAAACACAGAGCAATGCCCAAACACCGAAGCAGCCCACAGAGAGGTGAGAGGAAGGTTTCTTCATGCACATAACAGAAGATGATTTTTTTTTCCAGCTGTGGTATTCATTTATTTATTTTTTTATTTGCTTTGTATGCCTTATAGCCCTGTTTGATTATGAGGCATGGCAGATGGCAAAAACATTTAAGTCAAAGTGAAACTGCAAATTTCAGACTCCTCCCAATTGAATTTTAACATTATTCTAAAAATCAGAGAGAAATAAGATTTATATTAGTAGTCTTTGTGTGATCGTTAATGTTACATAATTCTATAATAGTTTTTTCCCCTTTGTACTGCTCCTTGGTTCGTCTTAGCTCAGCTCATCTCCAAGCCCTGCAGTCAGTTTAGAAATGGGTTATGGGAACAGTGTCCTGCTCACAGTCATGGTTTTGATATGATTCCAGTCTAAATAACACTGACACGCCACAGGGGCTCACGTGGAACAGACCGTCTAGCTGGATGTGACTGACCTACTATAGTGGCAAGCTGAATTTTTGTTTACAGATAGGTCATTGCTGTTATGTCCTACTGATGTCAGACATGAATAAGCCATGGCCCTAATGGCATTGCCAGCTAACCCTCTGGCCACAGAGCAGCAGATCTGTATTGATTATAACAGACAAAGCATTAAATTGGCGGCCATGTATTTATTTCATGTATTTATTTCAGTTGTATTTGCCTTTTGTTGACAGAATTTTCTTTTGCAGCGTCTCTTTCACCTCTTTCACCAAGGCAGAAGACAAAACCACAGTGTCTGAATGGAAGGTAAATATGGCTCTTTATACATTATAGCTACCCTCTCCAAATAATTTCCACGTTCTCCTTTAAACTCTTTTTTTTTACACTAGCACGACTGTTCTGTGACAGCTAGGCCAGTTTGCACAAAAGTGAATATATTTATAATGCACGTTTAGAACATCCAGAGTGATTTACAAAGCTAGAAAAAGGGAAGCCCTGGGCTGAAGGCTAGCTTAATGTAGTGCACTAAAAAAAACGAGAGAGAGACAGAGAAAGAAGGAACGAATGAGAGAAAGCCTTGAAGTTCAGGTGGATTGTCTAAGATTTTAGATCAAAATCAAACTGTAAAAGTGATCTCTCATACCAGATAAATATGAAGGGAAGCACCCAAAGTAGTTAACGTAGTCATCTGAGCAGTAGCTAAATACTGAATACCCTCACAATGCCCCTTTTTAGATTTGGAGGTCACACAGCTGGATGATGGTGATTACAGTTTTGCAATTGCTATCTGTTAAAATCTGTTAAAATTTTTGATTACAAAGTCATCTTAACTTTTTTCACAGAAACTATTCAAACTATGAATGAAATAAGTCTGTGTGGTGATCAAAAATAACTGGAGAGCTATTTTTTATGTCTCTATTATGTATCATTATAATTGAAAATTTTCCACATCGGTAAGTGTGTGGTTGCCCACATTGATATGTGTCAGTAAGTAGGCTTTGGGAAGGGGATATTAACATTGGTTAAGCTCTTTGTTCCTTCAGAGGGGAAAAGGAGGAGGAGGATGTAACGGTTCTCCTGACAGGCATCATGATTGCAGAGGGAGAAACACAAGAAATGACGCAAGTTCTCCTCCCTCATGGTCTTTATAGATACATAAGTCAACACTACTTATGTCACCAGGATGAGTGATGCTGCAATCGATTGTGCTTGTGTGTATGTATGTGGAAGAGGATGGATGGATGGATATACACATACATACATACATACATAGGAGCAAGGTTTCGTGACTGTGGGTTCTCTGGTTTAGTAATGATAGCCTCACTTCTGCCCCTCCCTTACATCCTTCCACCTCCTCTGTGACGCACAAAGCCTTGTATTTAATTTTTTCAAATTTTGTTTTATGAATGAACAACCAAGGAGGTGTAGAAATAAGAAGCCAATCCTGTATCTGCTGCTGTTAATGATATTGATGATGGGGGTGGTGCAGTTACAAATCTATTATTTTTTTTCACTCTGCATATCAGCATCAGAATTCACTGCGTATGCACCCACTTGCACACACTCACCGAGGCAAACGGCTTCGTGACTCCCCGCAGCTCCATTAAACAGACTCCTTGCTTCGGCTTGACGTTGCTGTGGAAACACCTCGTCATATATTGAACCGCTCTCTTTTCTTGCACACACGCCCCCACATCGCACGCAATGACTGAAGAGGTATTCCTGCCACCCCTATTCTTCCGTGCATGATGAATAATCCATGTGGAGGCAGATCAGCAGCAGAAGTGTTGGGAATGCCGGTTTGAAGGAAAACCATGTGGATTTAGGGATGTGATATCTTTTCTGGGGGCTTGCCATATTATCATACACTGCCCACAAACAGGCGGATCAGGTGATCTGGGAATCACGGTGACACAGTTAATGGAATTACTGTGTATTGCTCATCAGAGATCCCACGCTGTATGCTGGTGCATATTAGGAATCTGACTGACAAAGGGATTCGTATCTTGCGGGTTGACTGCTGACCAGCTTGTAGTTGCTCACAGAGCTGAGGGGGGTGACCGCAATGGGAATTCGATTTTTTTTCTTCTCTTAAATGTGTTGCTTGTAGCGATCATTTGCAGTAACCTTTCATAACTACAAGGAAATCTAAAGACTTGTGTTCTGTTTCTCGTACGTCAAACAAGCAGCCTGCTTATAAAGCTGTATTCTGCGTTTTGACTCATACCTTTTTCAGGAAGACGACAAAACCACTCTTCTCACCTCATCTTGCAAATCTTTTCCGAGCCACACTCTGGACCAGAAGAGAGTGAAGAGATTTTGAAAGGACTGCTCAAGATTCCTGAGCATGATGTGAAACGCTTCTTTCTCTCTATCCTGTCCTACCTGCATCCTTGAAGCTATGTTTTGCTTCTGCTTCCAGAGCCCCTCTCTAAAGCTGCAAGCCCTGGGGGCTGACTTGGGACCTCCCTTAGCATCAGGAGACCCTGAACCTCAGGATAACTTACCTGCTCAGCAACAGCCTCTGTCTAATGAATCGCAAAGGCTGAATGTGACCCACAGCCTGCCATTAGCGCCTTCTCAGGAACAGCAGACAGTCGACTCATCACCGCCTGGTAAGACAAGAACAATGACGATGCTGTTACAATGAAATAGCAATAATGATTTTTTAGCTTCCAGTATAAACACTGCACTGGCACTGAAGAGCAAAGCTGACATAATTTGTAAACATTAAAAAAACTTTAAAGTTTCAGCTTTGTGAGATAAGGGGTTTTATTTTATATGTACTAAACTTGCAGCTCTACCTATGGTATATAATTCAGTCTCAGTTTTCTTTCATTTATTTTGCTCATTAAAGCTGTTGTAATGTTGCTGTCGATAATTGTTGGCCACAAAGTATGAGCTTGATTATTTAGAGCTGGGTGTATCTTTCCTTGGTAAGTTAGGTAACTAAGGTAATATTGTTGCATCGCTCTACAGCTGCTGGTGTCCGTGGTTTTTTATTTCTATTATTTTCATCCTTTTGTTTGGGCTAAACATTGTTAAAAACATGTATTTCTTTTCTTTTCGCATAAAGATTATAACAGCTACACGAATAATCTTGTTTTACTGATTTGTCACAAACAGATAAATTAAGATTTTGCAAATTAAGATAGGATTTTAGCCTAGCTTTAATTTTAATAAACATAAAATTATCATTTTACTTCACTCTTGCTCTCTCCTACAGCACACACCCCGTCCCCGCAGCTGTCAGATTCCAGTCCTGTCCATTCCACTTCCGCTTATTTAGAGGAACTTTCTGGAGAGGATACACTACCGAGCCCATCAGGCCCTCACGCCAGCCCACTCCTTTCCCGTTTTACGATGACTGACTGTCCAGTTCCCTCGCCACGTTGCCCCAACCTCAGCCACAGCCAACGCTACAATCTAGACCCCGACACAGCTCCATCTCCACCCTGCTCACAGCACATACGCATGTAAGACGACTTTTTTGCCGCTGACATTTGTAGCTCATAAATGGAATCCTCTCATGTTATGCTCTTGCTGTAGGTTAAAAATGAAAAGCAATTTGGAAATGTTTTTTGTTATTCATAATTAATGCTAATACCTTACAAAATCATACTGGCTGTTATATTTTGTGATATTTAACTACACCCTTTGAGTCCTTATTGCGTGGACCAATGTGCAGATGTAGAGTTAAATTGGGCATATGTTCTTCTTGTCTCAAGGGCTCGCTGCAGTGTCCTTACAGAGCGAGACGAGGGCACCGTGTCCATCTCAGCTCTCAACAGGCACATCCACACGCTGAGGAAGAGGATCAGGCATTTTGAGGAGTGTTTTGAACAGGAGAAGCATTATAAGGTTTGGCAGTGAATCAGACTTGCTTCATCAGGGTGCTGTAAAGATATTTAAGTTCTAAACTGTTGCTGCTAAGGATGAATTACTCCCTCTGCTGGAACATTGGTAGCATAATGGTTTGTTAGACAATGAGGAACAAGCTGGTGATAATGATTACTTTGAAAAAACACTTACTTGGTATCCAGTGCAACAGACTGGCCACTGTTATGTGAGATATCGTTTTCTGTTGTTTTTTTTTCCAGCCAGCACACAATGACAAGACAGCACATCCAGAGGTGGCCAGACTGATGAAGGAGCTCATCAGGTGTCGCAAGCAGCTTAAAGGTCAGTTATATAACCAAAAACATTCGCAAGTAAATTATTTTAAAAACTGCAGCGGGGAAAGAAGTTTCGTAAGTGGTTCGATTATCGGAGCTACATTGAAGCCTGAGCTGAAAATATGTACCTGTAAGCTAAACAACTAATTTTGAAACGTTGACTTAAATGTTGCATATACCATGAATCAGTAATGTAGGAGATAACCCATATGTAATAATTAATTAACTGAAATGAAAAGAGAGATGTTTATAGAAATTAGTAGGCTGAAATGTCATTTTAAAATGAAATGGTAGCAGAGAAATTATTATCTTTAACCTCCTAAGACCCGAACTCTTCCATTGCCTGCATTTTTTATTTCTCTTTGATATTTGGGCATATTGGGAGCTGATGAATGTAAAAACAAAGAATCACCAGATTTTTAACTTAATTTTTGTTTCTAAGAAAAATGAGAACCACATATGAGGATATTTGTTTAAATTCCTGCTCTTTCCTGTAGAGCTGAAGCTAAGGCAGTCAGAAGAAGCTGAAACATGCAGGGGCAATACAGACAAACAGGAGGCAGTACCGACAGGAACTGAGCTCCAGCAGCTGAACAACAACAGCAACGCCAAGCCAAACGTAGAGGAAACGGTGAACATTATAACAAACAGGCTGAAGGAAAGACGGCAAGAGCTGGGCCTGCCCGACAGCATTAAGGTTGATTTTGCAGAATTGTTTGTACCATTAACACAAATATAGCAATACAAGTTTGGACGTTAGATGTTCTAAGAGTTTATTAGTTTTCACTACTCCCGTATGTACAGGAGATGTCCCCTTTTCAGATGAGTATGGAGAAGACCAGCATGCAGAAGTGTTTGTTGTACTTCGAGAGTCTTCACGGACGGCCGGTAAGACAAGCTTGGATGAATGCTCTTTGTTTTGATTCTTTTGAGTAGTAGTTTTATTTATTTTTATAAATATCTTTCTAGTCTGGTGAAAATCTATCTTAACGTTTTTCTTTCTTCATCTCTGTTGTCAGAGCACCAAGCAGGAGCGAACTTTGATGAAACCTTTCTACGATCGCTACCGTCTTCTCAAACAGCTGATTTCTTCCTCAGCCACAGTAAACATTACAACCATTGTGAGTCAACATTCAGTTGATTTTTTGTTTGTTGAAAGGGAGATAATACCAATGATGCTGAATTTTTAAGAAGAAAGGTTAAACTCAGACTACATCTGGCTGAATAGAACAGCTGCACAAAAATATTATGAAACTTCTCTTTATAATATTAAGAGATATAAACAATAATAATGATTTATAGAAAGTCAGCTGGTTTTATCTATCCATCTCTTAACTTTCAGAACTGGAGCATTGAAAATCGTTGGATTTACCTCTCTTTACCTTACCATGATTTCTTTCTTCTTTATCTGCACAGGAGGAAGAGGAGGGCTCTGATGAAGAGCATCCCAAACAGAGAAGCCCCAGGCAGCAGCCGCTGTGGTTAAAACCCTCCATGTGCGTGTCCTTAGAGGAGTTGCAGTGTCCGCCCTCCCTAGAAATGTCTGAATCGCCTCTGGTATCGCCGCTGGAAGAAGTTAAGGTTCTCCACCCGCAGATTATCACTATGGCAACACTACATGAAGCTTCCAGGTACACCGTGTGAGAGTGTGCGTTTCTGTGTGCACGACATCACAACCAGAAAAAAACCCCGATTTGCTCAGTCATGTTTTAAAGAAAGATAAAGATGGTTCGCATTTGTTTTTCTTTGATCAGCTTGTCTTCAGTTGTGGTTTATTGATTTAAACACAATCCAGATGATATAAAAAGTTGATTAATTGGTTCTTTCTTAATGCAGACCAGAATTACTCGATCACCTCAGGCTGACTCGATCAGAAAAGCAGAGGGTTCACCAAGCGCTTCGAGAGTTTGAGGACCAATTCTATGCACAGACTGGCAGGTAACACACCATGAAGCACATACGTACGTAACACATCAAGAGTACTTGGCTTTTGAATTTTATTTTGTCTTTTACTAAACTTGGAACATTTGGTTTTCAACAATGCCTTGTGAAAAAAAAAAGAAAGAAAGACATCCACAAAAGAAATTCCATTGTTATGGTACGACAGTGTAATGCACACTCATGTAACATTAATCCAGCACACAGAGCTCAGGAAAGACAGATGTTTGCTCTGAATTGTACACAGTACTGTACATGTTAGTCCTCCAAAGTTAATGCAGTAAGTCTTTTTTTTTTTCTTCTAATTACAATACACACTGTACAAAGCTATCTGAGTAAGGCAACATAGGGACCATCAACCAGTTATGGAAGCTGCTGCAAGTTGTTTGGAAACTACAAACTAAAGTTTGCTTTTCATTTGCATCTTCCATCCTCCGTATATCATTAACAGGGCATGTCAGAAGGAGGACCGTGGACCAATGGCGGAGGAGTACTGCCAGTATAAGAACCTTAAAGCGAAGCTCCGTCTACTGGAAGCCCTGCTTAGTAAACAACAGGACTCAACCAAGACAAGTTGAGTTACTCACAGTGGGACCTTTTTCTCTAACTTAACAGGACTCGATCATTTCTGAAATAAATCAGGTCATGAAGCCGGTGGTTCTGGTCTTGTTTCATGCCATGCTCATTATGTAGATGCACTTTACATGAAGGAAAAAGTGATGGAAATTGGTGACAATCTAAAATGCGGGGTCACTGCAGTCCCAAGAAGACATCCCTTATTATTCATGACCCATCTTATTATAAACCTGATGTAGCAAGCTTATGTTATGTAGCACAAATCTATGTCAAGAATGAAGCGCTGTAATAACTTGATGTTAGTTACACTGGAGTCATTTTAAGATTATGTATTATATGGCACTTTTTGTTATTCACTTTTTCCCCCCTTGCCAAAACACTATTTGACACCTGTGTCCAGGGTTAATGTGGAAAATGCATTTAAAAGTGCTGTGTTGGCAGAAACGCGTAAGCTTAAATGCAGTCAATGAGACAATCCTGCAGTGTTTGTGCATGTCCGTTTTTAGTCCTACATTGTGCTATGATATGTATTAAGAATTACATAGTTGAGCTATATTGTAACTTTTGAATTTGCGTGTTCACCTTGGAAAAATGTGAATTTTGGTGAACATCATAGTGCAAGTTATACAGTACCTGCTGTCGAATTTGTGTTTACCCCCATTTTTGCCTATAATGAAGTTTATCCCCCCTAAATGCCGTTGTTGACAATGATCAGAGCTTTTAACATTGTGCACTTCTGGTTTATATAGTTTTCTATATATCTATATATAATATATGAATGTATCAATAAAAATAAATATTTTTTCACATTTATTCTAATAAACACAGTTTAAGGTTCCACTTTCTTTCTTTGCACTAACTACAACGAAATAAGAATGACTGTTGCAGAAAAGGTTGCTATGACAGAGGTACTGACAGCTTTCAAACTCATGCTGCACAGAACTGCATCATGCTTTTCTTTTTTTAAAAACAAACAAACAAATAGTTCACTCTTGGTCATCAAAGACTCGGTGAATACACATTTCAGAGGCTGTTGCATTAGTACGGTTAAGATTCCACAGCGGTTTTATGTCTGGTTTTTAATACCTTTGGTATAAATCAAGATGACTATCGATGCTGCAGCCCTAGAAAATTGTAGTACCAGTCCATGCCACTAGGAGGAGGTAAAAACAATTTGTCAACTGTTCAATGACAATCAAACATCGTAAAAAATGACAATAAAATAAGATAATGTAATCAGAAAAAAGAAATTGTCCACACACACAGTGGGCAGTTAACAGTATATCTATAAGAGCAAGGCATAGGCCAATAAAGTATGGGACAACTGATTTGAGAAACAACAGGAAATTGAAATGAAGCAGCCCATGTTTGTTAGTACAGTTAAAGGGTTTTGTAAGTGTGACTTGCCGGATGAGTAGATGGATCTGTGTCGTCGGTGTCCCAGGTTTACATATTTCAGTCTGCTGACTCCTAAGATATCTTTATGCGTTTCTGTTTTCAACATTAGGATAACCCACCCTCAGATGAGTAGACAATGGTGCAGGTGTCAGAGTGGTGTACCTTCGTCTTTTTCTCCACTCTTCTTTGGGAATGATGGTCTTTTGAGAGTACAGAGCAGTGTCAGAGATATGTTGGTGTTAGCCTACTAAATCTGCTTCATGCATGTGTTGGTCTGCTTCATCAGTACATGTGGACTTCCTTTGTGTGACTAGAGGTCAGTTACTCCCCCCCCCCCTCCTACGCTCTTTTTCCTTTTAAACATTCTGCTGTTTCCCCTAGCGTCCCACGCTGATGTTGCAGGTCTTGCAGCTGGGATCCTTCTTGGCATTTACTGTGGAGAGACTCATCAGCTGGTGCCCACTGATCTCTGCCACTGTGCCCAAGGATAGGTCTACAGGCTCTGTGTAGATCACCTCCAAGATGACATCTTGGGCGTGGTGAAACACCAAACCACCATCACCCTCTTCAACCTGCTTGCAGGTAAGGAAACGGTTGTTGGTGATGTCGAGCAAAGGAAGCCTCTGCTTACAAAACTCATCACCCCTTGAGCCTTTCGGTGCTAGAACCAGAATCACATAGTGGTAGGCTGTATACATACAGTAGAAGTCTCCAAAGTACAGGTTGGTGTCAGGGTTGAAGAGCGCATCAGCCCGCACCTCAAAGCGATGGCGACCATACGGGGAATCCTGCGGGGGCTTGCCAGTGTTGAACTCTGTGTTGCAGCTGAAAAAGATGCCCTCCAGCTTACCACTGATGGGAGAGCCATGGCTGCCACTGTTGTCTTTAATAGAGGGCAGCATCCGGTTTTCTTGCGCCTCCCTGAAGTTTGCAAACAAAGGAATGAAATCAGTTTTATTCTGTTTTTGCATTTCTCTGGCAATCAAAGTAGTTTTTGTAAATACTGGAGAGAGTGGCACCAGGTTTTAATTTGGAAATGAAAGAGCAATTTTCTGGAATTTGTAACACATGGGAAATAAACTGAATGCGTAAGATGCAAAACATCTTGAATACTGAGCCTCATAATACAAAAAGTTTTATAGTAATCACATTTAGCTTAGTCCAGTTTGTGTCATTGGAATCCCGGGGGTGAAAATATTCCAATGAGCTGTTTGGTTTTTTTCATTATGACAAACTGCTATAAAACAAAAGCAGCTTTCAGATTAACAACTGAACATTCAAAGCATCTGTGGCAGCTGCATACAGTTTCTTCTCCACAGAGGGAATCTGAGCAGCAAAGTCCCAATAATGGAACTGTAATTATTACAGCAATTCATACAGCTATCACTCCAGAGGTTCTTATTATATCCATATTTCAAGCTTTGTCGTGGGCTTTATGGACTATTTAGCTCCAACCACAAGTGTTAAGAGCCTCATGTGAGCGGTACTGTCAGTACTCTTACTCGCCACATGATGACGCAGTTTAACAGGCGCACGGTACACTGTAGCAGCTACAACTCAGCAAAAGGGAGATGACTATCCAGATGACATCATGCTGTGTAGCACCAACAAAAGACTGCCCACAAGCTGTGGCTTTAGTACAGAGACTGTGCTTTGTTAAGCTGTGAGCATTACCTCTGAGGGACAGGGTGATAGGAGAGAAAACAGTCACTCCGTTAAAAGGAGGAGAAAAGAGGCCAAAAGTGGAAGAAAATTCACTCACATGAAACGAGATAAAAATCAGTTCACTCTAGCTGCACAATGCTTCAGTAAACAGTAGTAGACCACTCCAGAGATATCCCTTCTTTTCCTGTCATACTCGTGTTATTTTTGTTTTTCTTTTGACTACATTCCTGAACAACTGCCAGCTATTGTCTGTCAGCTACATGGAGCTTTCAAACAAATCAAAGTGTAGAAGAAAGACCTGGCTTTTCGTTTGATGTGCATGCGTAGCATTGTTTACTGGGGGAAAAAATGGCTGGCTGCTCGAGTACTTATTTCTGCAGATTCATGAAACCAATGCAGCTGAATCTGGTTTTGTTTTGCTTTAGCAGCTGAAGAGCAACACATTTTTCTGACACCATGTTACCCACATGCTTGTAAACTGTATTGTATAAAACATGACCAGAAAGGAGTGAGCCGGAGAAGTTTGCTAGAAATGTGTGTTGCAGTGAGCCATGTAAGTTGGCAGATGTGTTAACCCAACAATATAACAGCCAACTCTTTAGATACAGAATGACATGGAAGCTCAGTTAGGTCCAGGATTTAACTTCTTTCTTTGTAATGTAATAAAGAAGAAAATCATAAAGTTATGCCCACCTGGCATGATCAAAGTACTCTTTATTCTGGTTTCTGTAGAAGACAGAGAAAGGCAGCATCCGCCCAGCAATGACCTCCGCCTTCTCCAGCAGCTGGTTTAGATGCACTGTGGAGTAATCTGGAGAAAGAAACATTTTTGTAAAAATGATTTCTACAAAAGCAGATTAGAAATCTGTATACATGTTATCAGCATTTTGTCATTAATGCCATTAGTATTAGTAAATGTAAACATTAAAAAAACAAAACGAGACCTACTAGAAGCACCGGCTAGGATGAAATATGAACCATGCATTAAGGATCCTGGCATTTTTCCATCTTTAACTTTTCCATTTAGATATGACTCAGCATGAAGCCCAAAAACATTTTCGATAAATGGATGTACTCAGCGGGGAGTGGACTTTCTCCAAAGCATATAAAAAAATCATGAATGCATTTTCCCCATGGCTATTTTCCCACAGGCACCAAACACATCACCACAAGTAACCGGTTAAAATTCTCAGTACCTTGAATGAAAATGAAAGAAGACATCCGCTTTATCCTGACACTGTAAATGTTTAATGTCAAAAAGGCTGACTTATATAGATTGATGGAGCACAAAGCTGCAGCTTTCTACGTGCAGAGGAAAAATGCATTTGACATCGAACTTGTCAAAACACATGTTCGACTGGTTTTGGTGACAGGACGGGCATCTCGTGCCGGGCTGTTAGGATCAACAGCTTCATTTAGCATTCTCCTTCTTCAGCTTCTTACTGTGACACAGCTCACACTCTTCACTTGCCTGTCATTCTTCTTCAGATTTAAACTGCCTCTCCTCATCTATTTTATTTGATTGTATAGCTGTTCTACAGGCACTGATAGTCCACCTGTTTGGTCCAGACTGAAATATTTCAGCTGTTAGATAGATTGTCCTAAAATAATGTCTTGATATTACAGTTGCCAGAAGATAAAGCTTACTAATTTTAGTAATTCTATTAATTTTTTAAGATTGGATTTTTGATGGACTTTACAGAATGTTATGTTTTATATTTTCCCCATCATCAGGTTATAATATCTCTTTGTCCAATACTTTGATTACATATACTAAACTGGTTATGGACAAATCAAGTGTGTGATCATGAATAAGTTGTATAGTTTTAATGTTTTATTTGGGAATAGAATGGTGTGTATGTGTGAGTTTGGTGATGGAGTTTTTATTATGAATGAATTATGAATTTTTTATGAATTATGTCTATTTTTTATGTTTTATGGACAACAGATGGAAATTAGCCCTTGGCTTTAATCTGATATGTTTACATTCATGTAATTTTTTTTTTTTTACATGTATGTTCATTAACATGCACTGTCCTAAATAAAATAAAAACAAATAAATAAAAATAAATTAAAACTACACTAAGAATGAAAACTAGAAGTGAAAACACATTTTAGTTAAATAAAAAATAAAAACTAGAAAAAACTAAAAACTTTTGAAAAAAATGTAAACTAACAATTTTGTGAACTTTGACAACTAATTAAAGTAAAATAAAAATGCAGAGGAAATTAGGTCTAGTGCCCTACTTTTTTAGTAAGTATTATTTTAGTATGGATTAAAAACAAAAAGTCACAAGGAGATAAAAATAAAGACTAACTAGAAAATAAAAAAACTATTATAAATAACTCTGCTCTGCTATCATGAGTGTTGACGCTCAAGTTATTTGGCACTTCAAAGTGTAGACAAAGTGAGGTGCAACAATCACCCTAAACTGGAATTGGACATCATTAACCCCAGCGATGTCCCTCCTCATCCACCCATGCCATACCTCCCTTCCCCCATCCTGGTCCCCAGACAATGACGTTGAACTCCGAGACCTCTGCATCAGGAGATAAACAGCACAGCTCCTCTCAGCCCTTCTTTGTTATAATCCTTTCCTTCCACTCAGAATATTAGCTCCTCTCTTACCTTCTCCCTCATTAATGCTCTAGCCTTTACTCCATTGTACTCTTCTCTCTTCCATTATCGTTCTCTATAATTAACTCGGGCTCACCCAAAATTAAAGCCAAGACTGATGTCACATATCCTAGAAGTGCATGCATTCATCAAAGCACCATATTCCTCACCAGCAGTGCAGAATTCAATAATTTCGCTCCACTCAGACACGGAGTAGTCCCCATCAGCCTGTTTTGATGCAGTCTGGACAGCCACTGTGTACTCTGTGCGTGGGCTCAGGAACCAGTGGCCCCGGACCGTCATGGGCAGGGGTACTGCCTTGGCCACCAGTTTGGTAGGAACATCCTGGAGGGATGGAAGGAGTAAAAGAGGACAGAGTGGAATGGAAAAAGTGAGTGAGTGTTGGCAGGAAGGAATTAGTCAGAAAGAAACTCCTTATAAAGACACTTGTAGCCACACACATAGATATATTATCCTATGTTACTGGCTGCAGGTAGCAGCCACGGCTTCTCATTTGTGTAAATGTAAACTATACACTTCACCCCCAACAACAACCCCCCACAACCCAAAAATCAGTGGGCCATAGCAGCTCATTGATTGGACCAAGAGCCCCTGCCTAGCAACAGAGTCAGCCCATCAACCCACCGACACTGCTCCTGCGCCAAAATCAAAACATTAGTATGGGGTCGCCTGCTACTCCAGAGCAGAAAGGAGAAACACTCAGTGACACAGCACCAGCAGTGTGAGGAGGCTGATGACACAAGTTGGTAAGATTATCAAACCAGACTCTTGACTGACAATAATTAGCATTACACTAGATGTTTAGAGCACGGCAACATCTATCTAAAGCACTACTGACAGTATGATAATTAAGGTGAAAAGCTCATTCTTCTGTCAGAAGTAGAAGAAATGTAGAATTAACTGAAGTTTCATCAAAAACATCAAATTGAGCAGTTTTTTTTCTAAGCCACAGGTTTCTCAGAAAATTTGAATTTAATACTATAATTTAATTAACTGTTCATAAAATATGAATAGATTTATGTTTATGGCAGATTATAGAGTATAATTATTAAACAAGAATAATAATGGAAATGTACAGCAGTGGTTTAATATATTTTAATAACTGTTGTGCAAAGTATTGCCTGTATTCATGCAGAACTATACAGCTGTTGCTTTCCTTTGTGCTGGCAAAAATATGAATATACTGCTTTTGTGCAACATGTGTAACAGCTGTCTTATATTGCTCATAGTTGCTGTTGCACACCTCTGGCCAGGAGACCTGCTTTTAAAAAAGGATTCAACCGAAAGGAAACGATTAGCTGGTTAAATAATAAAATGTAAAATTGCTTTTTTTTTTAAAATCATTTGGTTAAAGATACTCTCTTTGCTCTCTTCTCTTTCCCCCTCATCCCTCAGCCGGTCGTAGCAGATGGCTGTGCTGTGCCTGGAGTTTTTCCCTTTCTGCTGAAATTCAATATTTGCTGCCTTTGCTATAACAATAGCACTGAAATCTTTAAATGGTATTTATGCACCTCCCTTACTTGAGCATTACCTTGTGTTTGAACTTGTTTGAGTTTTTGTTCTCCTTCTTGTTCAGGTCAATGAAATAGTGCGTGATGCGCTCCTTGCTGCGTGCCTCCATGTCCCAGCAGATCTTGAAAGAGTCACAGGTGATGTTGCTAATCTTGATGTTCTGAGGAACTGGGAGCTCCTCCATCTCAGAGATGCTGCCGTCCTGGGATTTACTTCCTGCACAGTCCAGGAGAGGAAAAAAAAGACACCATAATGAAACGATATGGTTCAAATTTAGTCTAGAAATCCTCTGAATAAACATCAGGTTCTGGTTTACATTTTATACAATAATAGTTGTGTCTCCTAGCACTTAAATTATTTGATGATCTATGTCTGAAGACACATTGACCAGTGACAAATCATCATTATAACCGCATCAAGTCATCAGTACACCTTTAAACCTAACTTACTCCTGCTATACCTAAACATATAGCAGGAATTATTCCACTGGCAGCACACTGGGTAATATAGCCACCATGTCACAGTCACACACAAAAACCTGCTGCGTTACTGACTGCCATATACAGTGTGTTTCCATGGCAACACATCAGTCCCTCTACACATGTACACCTATCAGCTCTCCAGAACATATGCGCCATTAAATATTTTAAATGCTTGAATCCCCTCTCGTCTTGGCACAGATTGGTCTGTTTATAATCAGTTTTAAGGATAAAACACAGCTGTCACAGTGCAGGCCCTGCACATAAGCCCAGAACCATAACATTTAAAATGCCAGTGAATGTCAGAGGAGCTTTTTTCTTTCCCCTTTCTTCTTTAACGGAGGCCCATTATGTTAATTTCCAAATCTATGTTTGTTATCTTGTGCACTATTAGACTCACTTTACATGACTAAAAGCGATCCTTAAATATCTTATTTATCCATCTTTGTTTTTCTGACTGGCTGCCCCTTTGGAAACAAAAGATTCCAGCAGGTGGGTGTGGCTTCTGTGCTCTGGGAAATAAGGAAAATGCAATTCTGGTTTAAGCTACATGCTACATTTTCATACCCAGTACCTGGTGTATTTGGCTAAGACAAAAAGCTTCCATTGCTCTCATTCAAAGAAATGAATAAATCTCAATTTTATCTGAGCTGCATAGATGTCACGCACTATAGGCCACTGTAACATGTAGCAAAGGCTTTCTACCCAAAGTGCACAGAGAGGCTAATGAAATGTCAAAACCGGGTTGAATAAGAGCTTTGTAAGATTAGGATGAATATAGACTTTGCGTCACACTATGGGACGCCCACTTGGCACGGCAACAATGTGTTTTCTGTGTATGCTCTGGGGTCTAAACAAGAGTGAGTAAAATTCAAGAATGCGGTGTTTGGGAGTGATTCGAAACATGGTTGGATTCAATACAGTGTCAACAATGGCAGAACCAGTGAAGCATAAAAAACTATCTCTGTTCATCAAATGAGAGGGAGCGAGATAAAAGACTAATCCTATAATTGGTAGTGTGGACACTCCTGCCTCACCTCCATACAACACTAGCAGTAGAGCATCGGTAGACTGATTCATTTTAAGAACCTTTTTTACCTTCTAAAATCATGACTTCTGACCAATTTAGAAAAAAAAAAAATCCATTAGGAGGCACATTTATGTCCTTCATCACCACATTAAATCACACCAGACCAGACCCCCTACTTACTTTTGTCCTAATCACTAGTTTCTAATCACAACTAGCCGATTACCATCATCTTCGATTTAAAAAGACCTCCTGTTACACACTTGGGCAAAACTGTTGCTCATTTTAATTAAAACGTAACACATGTTGTGGACTTTAGTGCAAGGACCTTTGCATGACTAAGTTATTGCATTTGGACATAACATTTATTATCTCTACCAACATGTCATGACCTGGACTTTTTTGGGACCTATGGGAAAAGGATCCTGCATATGTAAATATGTAAAGATACCAGATGTTAAATCATAACCCGATCCAGCATGACTGACTGTACGATCATGCTTGGCCCTACTGCGCTTCTTTGATTTGTGAAACCACCTCATCCTATTGCTTTTAAAGTCCATCTCATTATACTTAAACACACTGAGCTGATAGGTTTGGCTCAGACCAGACAGAGAGAGTGAACGGAAGACGTGACGACGCGGACCTTTGACAGAAAATGCTCCACCGAGTCAGCACAGAGCAGACAGTGATGTAAGCACATAAAGCTTACATAAAGTCCCACCTGAGACTTTGTTTGCTGACCTTTAACAGATTCAAGAAAACTACCAGGCCTGTTGTCATTCTCTGACATTCATGTCAGCAAAAGATGAAATATACCCCAAAGGAAGTGAAACAATGGCAAGGATTTCTTATAGATTTTCAAATGTAAAATGAAGCCTGCTTATAAAAATACTGTGCAGATAAACAATTCTCTAATTCTGGCCACCTTCAGTATACAACTGTAAACATTAACCGACATCAAACATCAAAGATGGAAAACCTGCTAGCTCACTCGCTGTGTTGTGCGGAGTAGGTTGCTTGTCCTCTGTTCCCTAAATTGTTAATGTCAACATTGATGTTTTCACTAAAAACTAGACCCCATGCAGGTCTTTGCCCTCCCATCTCTCTGCAACTCCACAATACTGATTTACCTCGTTTACTCTAATGCTCTCCTAATTAACCTGCAGATGAAGAGCATTACACTGAGGCAGTGAAGCTTTCCAAATGCAGTCAGAAATCACCTACAGAACACTATTAAGGCAACTCAGTCACAGTAAAGGCTGTGCTATTAGGGAAAACAAGCTCTGAAAGCTGAAGGGAAAAGGAAATGGTACTAATGTGAAGAGCTATAGACATATATACAGACAATTGACAGGTTAAAAGGAGAAAGAGGTGAAGTTTGGCTTTGAATTGGTTAGGTTGAAGAGTGACGTGTGCAAAATATACAAAAACAAAAAATCCCAAAAGAGGCTAAAACGAATAAATGATATCTAACTGATACCAGTGAATCTAGCTAATCTTGTGTTCACCAGCTTTGTCAGAGCCAGTGTTAAGCTCAGGTCTGAATCCTCTGGGGCTGCAAGAGCACAAGACGAATGATGAAGAACACCAAATGGGATGAAGGTCAGGCGGTAAGGGAGAAAGCAGAACCTTTCATGGCTTTGCTCAGGAAGACTAAAACCTCCTTCCTTTTTAAATTAACGTGCTATGTTTGACGCCAGTGTTCATTTTGCTGAATCATAATTTTTAACACAACATACTGTAATAAGCCGCTGTTATTTTCTGTCGATTTACTCCATTTCCTTATGCTGTTTATTAGGAGGGTGCGAAATTTTGCTTGATCTTTATCAAGCAAGACAAGAGTCTGTTTTGGAGCAAATGCTTGAGAGCTTATGAGCACAGATTACTCATGCTGTGCACATATGCACCGGGAGTTCAAAATAACATGCAAGATCTGTAGATGCACAGCAGAGCACCAAAGAGCAGGCCACGGAAATATCGGCCCTATAGAAACAACAAAAACAATCTTAAAAGATGAAAAGCCTCAGATGAGTTTAAGAAATGGACCATATTGGTTATTGCCCTTTTACTGTGCAAACAGTCTAACGCCACAGGGAAAAGCAATAGTGCAGAAGGATCAATATAAATCTTGTTAACATGCATACATGGAGCCATCCTAATGGCTCTTTATGGTGGGATTTGTTCCAGTCACACCTGCCTCCAAATTATAAATGACTTGTTGGCACTCTTTACCAGCAAGAGGAAAGTGATTTGATTTCCATTTAGACCATTTAAGCAATGTAAATGAACTCTCTTGGTGGTTGGAGTTTCCATGATGTGAGACTACATTATGCTTCCATTTGAAACTTCTTGAATTCAAAACAAATAAACTTTCAATCAAGTTTAATGATAAAAAATATTTAAAAAAAACACATTTCTGAGCACTGTATGTCGGATTATTGTTTCTGAGTGCACAAGTAGGTACTCAGACAGACAAGCCTCCTACATTTTAAGTTGCAGTGCTCGATGTAAAATTGATCTGCAGACATGAGCAACACAACAGACACTAGGCATAGATGCTTGCAAAAGAAAAAAATAAATAAATCACGCCTTTGTTCTTCTCAATGCACAGGCTAGACCGGGACAGAGATCATGCTGGGAGTGAGAGAAGCCGCCAACGGAAAAACATCTTTCTCTCAGAGTGAGTTAAACAATGCCCCGTTCATCAGGTTAGGTCATCAGTCTATGTTCCACCTTTTAGACATCAGTAAGCCCCCGAACACCAAACAAAGATGAGTAACGATAATTTAATAATGCAGTCTTTAGTTAAGTAGGTTCAAAATCAACAAAATCAATACAGAGGGTTTTTTTTAAAGACTTTTCAGAGACCAGAATGAATCATCAGTGCTCATTTGCACAAAATATGAATCTCCAAATCTCAGACTTGTGTTTTTTTACATTTCATGTTTTGAGTTTTTGCAGCGAGGGATTTTTGTATACCAGCAGTGAAAAAAGAAAGAAAAATAAGCATAAATGTTTGCAGTGGCTTTTCAAGGTCAGACGCCACTGTTCTCAATGATGCTTTGAAGCATCTCGTAGAGCGGTCAAGTGCAAGTGAATATGTTATACGGTCAATAAGTGACTGCATAATATGTACCTCCAACTCTTGCCAGCACAGTCATGAGACACAACTGCTCACAGTGAACACAGCCAAACTAAAATGCCAGCTTACTCAGATGACACTGTATGACATAAGGCAGACCTGCTGTTGTATCATGTTGATACATACTGGATAGGCTTTTCCGTGTGTCCACAGAGTATTTTTTAATCACAGGAGTCTATAGCCATTTTCGCAGATGTGAATGACTGGAGCCACGCACCAAAATTAATTTAAATGGATGGCTGCACCGTTCGAGTGAGTGTGTGTAGGAGAAAAGGCCATAGAGAAATGGCTCTGCAGAAGTGTTTTGGATAGAAATTGTTAGTGGATGTAGCTGTGATTCCAAGAATATGTCTGTATGACCACAAGGAGCATCGCTACTTTCACTCATTGACTCCAGCCCTGCTCGACTGTGACACAGCATGTTTGAGCTAATAAAAAATGAACATAATGAAACTTTATATCTTTGTTCCTATTTTCAATTGATCATTTTAGCATTCTGAAATTTACTGTTAGCAGTAAACACGTGACTGGTGATAATGTCAGTAATTTCAAAAAGGGTTTGTCAGCTGTTGGAATAAGAAAAAAAAAATTCTGATGATTGAGCTAGAAAAAAAAAAGAAATTGCTTGATTTAGGAGGACAACAGCTATCTTTATAAAGACTTTCAGTCCTTCACTGCCAGCTTGATCTCAGAACAATTTCATGATGTTCTCAGGTCCACTGTCAAGGGATTAAAAATGCATCCATGTATTGACTTATCAGTGCACCTGTCCATTCTGGAAATGCGCATGCTAGTATGTTACCGCTGTTTCAGAGAGATTTCAAAGAGCACAGTCACACTGCTTAGTTGCATTAATAGCAGCCATCCATCATGGCAACTTCATCACATCAGCGGGTACGACACAAAGGCCATGTGAGACATGCAGCGTGGATTTGATTACGTTCTGCAAATGCGTATTAACTGTGGATATAAAATCAAAATGGTGGTCCTTGTCAGCCTTACAGGGGTTGGTGACAAATTTATCCAGCACAGCATCGGGGGAGCGATCCATAGACTATGGAGAACACCAGCAGACAAACTCTGCTCACATGAGCTGATGCTGTGACTTGTACTACTCTTCATTCTCAGCAAAACTTGCCCCACACCCACCTACTCATGTCACAGCCCCATCACTAAACTGAACCATTAACACCCCGTCTAAAACTGGACACACAGAAACGACTTGTGTCCGACCATTCCTTTTGTGCACTGAAATTCCCAAACAGTCTTCACTGTGTTGGAGAGTGCCCTTTCCCACAGACAGTAAGCCTACTGAAGCTATATGCACCCATCTGCTGGGTCAGCATAGGCATGGAAGCCTCTCATCTGATAATTAAATATTAATGATTTGGAAGATAAATTTAGAAAGCTGTGGAACAGTGAAATGAATGCGGACCTTGAGAAAAATGTACGCATTGATTGGATAAGATAACAATCCATTTCCAGGAAAGGTAAGAGCGAGTGATCCAGTCTTTTAGAAAGGGTGTGGCTGGGACAGTGCAAACAATATAATATAATATAATATAATATAATATGAGGCTCAGGTGATAAAATTCAGAGACTGGTCAAAATCTACAAACCATTCTTAAAAAAAGAAAGAAAGTTATCCAAACAAGCTGAAATCTGTATTTTTACAGATGTGCTCCACCTTAATGTGGCAACACTAAATATTTATGGGAGTATGAAGATAATCTGCACAAACATCCATACATCAATTGTTTTTTCCTAATCTCTTCATGAAGTTCAAGTTTTGTCCACAGTACTCGGGGTGTTTGTTCCTATCAGACACATTATAAACAGTTTCAACTAACCCATTGACAATACTTGTACAAGAACAACTACTTGTCCTGAAGAATTTGCACAGAAGGTGGACATTGTCACTGTGTTGCTTCATAAACAGAGTATGTGGGTGTCTCAAGGACACACACAGATAATATTTACACTGAGTAGCCTTCTTGGAAACTAAGAAAGTGGCTGTTTTGGCTCAGAAGTAAACCTGCAGCACAGAAAGCACAAAGGCTAGTGATCATTTGAAACGGGCAGCATCGCGTATATACCGTTTAGAATCAGCTCTAAGGGGTATACACTCTGGCAGCTAAAAGATTTTACAGTGACCGAGGAGACTTAATAAAGATACATCACTGACACCTTGGATGCCCTAACCAGCCTGTGTACACATACAAATCAATCTGGCATAGCTGCGAAGAAAAAAAATGAACCCAATTACACAATGAAAAGGTGTGATCATATTTCATGTGAATTAATTTCCAATCTTAATTAAGAGGCACCTCTGTGATCAGGAGTCTTGACGCAGATGTGGAATTAGCGCTGTGTAATTGCACTGATGGGTGTGTAGGGCTGCACCGCCTGAGAACACATGTGGGTGCAGCCATGTTTCTGCCTCTCATTCTCTCCTGATGATGACTTGCCTTTTTTCTTTCCCCACCATTCAATTCGCGACGGGATTAAGCCTCTTCGTGCAGCTACTTGTCAATTTTCGCATTACAAGCCTGGTTTGTGAAGCCTCGTTTTCTATGATGGGAATAGTTTCAGCTCTTCGTTTAATGATAAATATTCGGAAAACTTTTGATTCGAAGAAGTGAGCCACACACACAGCACGGGCGCAGCTGGAAGACTTGATGAATTATAAACGTGAGCGCAGGGGAGACTTTTATGGGAACTGGGGGTGGGATAGCAACTAAAGAGCGTCTCGTTTGTAATTATAAAATTTGCAGGATGACATGCAGTAAGTGAGCATACACGGGAAAAGGCAGCTCCTTTGGAAGATGGAAGAGAATTAGCGATTAAAGGCGGGGTGGCAGCCGGCCTCTGTCCATGTCTGTGGTGCTGAAATCAAGACACTCATCATTTAGACTAAGATTCCTGCCTCCAAGTTAAGCAGTACACATTCATTTTGAGCCAAGACCTTATTGCCACTGTAAAGACGCTCAGCTATTCCGAGCACGCACAAGCGCACCATCCATTCATCCACCCGAGGACCCAGCGGAGCCAGCTGCCCCTATTACTGCCACACAATAAGGGTACATACAGCACGCAGAGACAAACACTGACAAACTGACTGCATGCCTGCAGCGACTCCGAAACTAACAAAGCGGCCTAATGCACTGGCGTTATGCGGAGATATGTCAGCACCCCAGTGAGAAGCAGACAATCCCCCCCTTACCATCTCGTTCGCATAACTGTATGGCGTCCAAGCTTAGGTCCTTGATCATCCCCTCGCAGGGACTTAATGGACTGCTGATGTTGTGCGCCAAACCTGGTACCTCCATCTCTGCAGAAGAGCCTGGATGATGTTAGTAGTTTAGATTTCGTCCACGGGTTTTGCACAGCAGAAGGCGTCCGTCCGCGGTCGTTAAGGGGTGGGAAAAGAAAGAGAAAGAGAGACTGGTGTCCAGTCAGTCGCTCGCAGCTCTCCTCTGTCTCTCTGGGGTGGTGCGGCTATTGGCGCGTCAGCGGAATCGTCACGGGCGCGAGCAGCACACGCCGCCAGTTGCAAAATGAGGCATGGCAGCTTTTTTGGGGGTCTGTGTGCGTGTATCTCTGTGTGTGTTTTTCTTTTTTTTCACGCTGTGCCAAGCGGAGGAGGCTTTTGTGCTTTTTGAGCGCCACGTGTGTGCGCGCGCCCGTCCTGTATGTTACGCCGCCGCGGGACAGTTGAGCATGAATAGTTCAGCAGATTAGCGCAGAGACGTTCTGGAAATACAATGGCTTCTTATGTAACCAGATTAGCTCGGCGTTCCTTTTCCACGTTAGGTCCCTCATCTAAACGGTCCACGCGCTCCCGTTCTTCCCCATTTCACGTTTAACGTCATCCCCAACGAGGCTCTCACATGTCCTTATTTGGTGAGGTGTAGTCCCCTTTTTGTGCAGGAGCGCAGGTGCAAGTGGTCCAGGCGGTAATGAGCAGTGGGACGACTCTGACATGCTGCAGGACATAACGAATGACCAGGCTTACCTCTGCTTTTCCATTTAGGTGACGAATCCTCTCGCTCTTTAGACATGTTGGCGCATAATAACATATCATAGCCAGAAAACCACACTTTATACTGGGTGTGGGTGTGTAATTATCTCCATTAGACCTCTACACCCTTTTTTATCAGTGCCTCCCAGGAACAGGAAGGTCAAGTGCAGGCGTAGACCACACTGTGGCTAAGCAAGGCTTCAGGCTGCCTTTAATAACAGCATTTGATTATACAGAAGTTGTGGCTCATCATCATGGAGTCATTCTCATTCTTATATCTCCTAAAGCAGTCTTCCCTCGTCTCCATGCTCCACATGGGAGCATCAGACTGAGGAGGTGTCACTTTCTATTTGTTTTTGTTCAAGTGTTATACAAGAAGCCCGGAGGAGAGGCCAGAGTGCTTATCTATTCAGCGGACAACGGATTCTGCAGCTGCGTCTATTCCCCCTCTTGAGTCATGGTGCTTAAAACCACAAAAAGAGGGAGGGAGTGCAGTGAACCGTATAGAGGAGAGTCACCCTAACTCTTCTGGGGAAACGCACTGTCACAGCATCATCATCATCATCTCTGAGGTTGAGACAGACAAGAAAAATTGTAGATTAACAAAACTAAAAAGGGGGAAATAATAATAATGTTTGATTTGCCTGCAGGAAAGTAATTGGCTTGCGTTTTCATGCAGCTTGAAGGATTAAAAAATGGGGTTGTGGCGGGCAGGCAAATTAAAGTCCTGATAAGCTCATAATCACTATGGCATTCAGATTCAGTAGGAAACATATAAGGCGCACCACTAAAGCCTTGAACATATTCCACGCTTGGATTCCACTAAGGCTCACATTTCCTGCCAGGGATACACAGTGCATTTAAGGTAAAGGTCAGCATCCTGATCACTCCCTGCAAACACACTGCAGTGTTCTGGGGAGAAGATGCTGCCACATTCACCTTAAAAATTTAAATTGGAGTTATTTTTAGTATGCCTTTAAGTGGATGAAAGCCATGCGTAACATTATATATTTGCTATATGACATGACTTGACAGTTGCCCCCCAGCTGTGTAAAGAGCATTACAGTGACATCCATGGATTAACAACACTGCATTTGTTTAAATGCCCCCCACACCCCACTGGTTTCAGAAACCAGATCATTGAAAGTCCATGTGCAGTGACTAAATCATAAACAAAAACAAGTAGAGCACACCTAATAGCCCTAAATGCACAAGCTTCAAAAAGCCTAATTGCTATATGTCATCATCAATTTCCCTTTGTTGCCCTGTCTCCCTCCCCCCACACCTCTTATGTCCCTTCACTGCCTGCTGTGCTGATCTGCTTTGAGAGAGGAGGAGCAGGATGGGGAGGGGGAGGGATGAGGCTGACCAGTTCTGGAGGATTCCTTCTCATTCTACCTCCATCCATCCTTTCCGCCACGCCATCTCTCCACCCACCAATATCCCCTACAGGGTGAGTCGTCCTGTGTTAGCATCAGTGTTTCCAGTAGAGCTGCAGGAGGATGAAAGAAGGCAGTGTAACACACACACACACACACACACACACACACACACACACACACACACACACACACACACACACACACACACACACACACACACACAGCCAAATCTTTTCCCCTTTCTTGTTCCTTTACTAACATTCTTCCTTTAATGCTTTTGCCTCTTCAGTTCTACTTTGTCAATTGTCTACCATTTTTTTCCTCTCATTTGTTTTCTCATTTTTCTGCTCCACTCCAAATCTTGCAGTGCCATGCAGTGTATGTTTGTGTGTGCACACTATAGGCCATAGTGTACACTGTATTGGCAGTCCACTCTCATTTGCTCCCTCTGCTGTGTTTAGAGGCCAAGTGAACACACAGTGGCAGATGGAGAAATAGCAGGGAGAAAGGTGCAGTGAGAAAACAGATCAAATAGGTGTGAAGATTTTGAAGTGATAAAGAAGGCGGAGCGACCCATATGCAGACGTCTCTATAATTATATTTAATGCCTCTGCATCTTTCGGCATCTCTTACACAGCTGCATACACACAGTCTCAGAGGTCAGTTAAGAGGCAGAATATGGAGTGCATGGGCAGACCATTTTACATTTGCAGAAAACAATACCAAGTCACCACTGTGTGTGTGTGTGTGTGTGTGTGTGTGTGTGTCACATCATACCACAAAGACATTTATCTGGCGTTTCACGGCAGCAAATGAAGCATGTCATTGATTTACAGTGTGAAGTCTGGCCTCGGTGTAGCTGCAGCTTGATTGATAATGGATCTGTGCTTATGTGTTTTCTCTGGGGGCCCAGTTCAATTCCACTTTATCTAAGATTATATGAAATTCAAATGAAGTTCATTTATACGCCGAAAGGCCACAATGAAATCAGGGGAGACCAATTAAAAGCCGGGTCCAAATGTTATTAATAAAATGAATTAATTGGGTGTGCAATGCAGGATAAGCATGAAGGAAAATAAGCTTATTTGTTTTGCTGGAGAGCTTCGCATGAGGAGGATAAACATGTATAGCTGCAGAGCTAGAGGCTCATTAACTATAGCTTAACACAAAGACTGGAAACAGGGAGGAGCAGCTTTCCTCCCTCTGACTGAAGAAAGAAAAACCCACCTATCATCGTCTATAATGCTCACAAATGCAGTCATATTAAGATAAGATAAGATAAGATAACCTTTATTAGTCCCACACGTGGGAAATTTGTTTTGTCACAGCAGGAAGTGGACAGTGCAAAAGTTATGACGCAAAAATTAGAATACAATAAGAATAAATACAGTACACAGCTGTACAGAATAGAATAAAATAAAATACTATATACAGTAGAATAAAATAGAATAAAAATATACAATAAGATAAAAATAGAATACGAATGCTATATACAACTGAGTAAAAATACAACGATGCCAGAAAAGATTATTGCACTTAGTGTTATTGCACATGTGTGGATGTGTGTGTTTGTTCAGTTAAAGTCTTTGTTGTGGAGTCTGACAGCAGTGGGGAGGAAAGACCTGCGAAATCTCTCCGTCCCACACCGTGGGTGCCGCAGTCTCCCACTGAAGGAGCTGCTCAGTGCTGTCACAGTCTGCTGCATGGGGTGGGAGACGTTGTCCAACAGGGATGACAGCTTAGCCGCCATTCTCCTGTCACTCACCACCTCCACTGGGTCCAGAGGGCATCCTAGAACAGAGCTGGCCCTTCGGATCACCCTGTTCAGTCTCTTCCTGTCCCCAGCAGAGATGCTGCCGCCCCAGCAGACCACACCATAAAAGATAGCAGAAGCCACCACAGAGTCATAGAAGGTCTTCAGGAGTGGGCCCTCCACCCCAAATGACCTGAGTCTCCGCAGCAGGTACAACCTGCTCTGCCTTTTCCTGTAGAGGGCGTCTTATTTTGTTAATTTAACCAACTATGCCCATATTTCAAGGCATGATTGTTTTTTGACTTTCACATTATTATGCCAATGTTTCAGATTGTTAGTTGTCTTTTTATTTCCGTTTGTATGGAATAAAGCGTAAACAAATGAGCATAAATGTGTTGTTTACTGAGGTGCTGCCAAGTGGGTTGGTTGTGCTTTGTTATCAATGCTTTCCAGGAATGACAGTTTACAACCTTTAAGTGAACCAAACTAAAAAAACATAACAGAAATGATATTTGTATAGGACCTTTCAAGACTAATATCACAAAATGCTTTACAACAAAATACTAAAAACTTAAAATGTTCAAAAATAGATTTTTTAAATTGGTGAAAAACAGGAAAACTTTGACAGACCTTCAAAAATCCTGGAGACCTGTTGCTCAAGACCACTTCAAAAATTACAATTTAGTCTGGCTTCTTAAAGCAAAGTAGAAAGAAATGTTCTTGTGACCGTTTTCAACATTGGTGATGCAGATGCTCTGACATACGGGTCACTTTATATGATGGAGAATGAGCTCACAGAAAAAGAGCTAGACTTATCAGGCACCGTGAGCATAATGTCCACTGGATAAGAGCCAGGTATGGTGAGGTAGCAACCGAGTCACAGCTACTCTAATTTACACCTTTCCTGCAGAGGCAAGCTGCCCATGAGAACAATATGTGAAGCTGTGGACTCTGTTGGTCTTTTGACGGGGATGCTGCCAGGATGCTGAATAAATGCAGGGTTGGTTAGTGATAACAAAAAAAACCCAAATTCTTTCTCTGCAATTTAGCTGTCCCTCTCTCACCCTGTCTCTCACAATAGCACATGAAATTGAAATTAGCCATGCTGGGCAAAGGGAATGATTGCCGACTGTGCTGCACACACAACTACCCATAGTGCAATTGAAAAGACTCTGAAATTTTGCAACTAATAGCTTTTCTCTAGAGCTCTAATATCCTTTATGAGATTAAATGTAGGTGAATTTGTTTCTGCCGAATCCAGATACATTCTCTTCATGATGGGACCATTTTCTTAGATAAGACCTAGATTTAATTATAGGTGTGATCCGTTTGTCATGTCAGCAATTGGCAGCAGACAGCAAAAGGAATGTTTTCATAACATCCTTCCTACACATTACCCCGTGAGTTTCTCACTTGTACATACCAGTATTTACATCCCATTCAATATTGTGATGTAATAGAAACCACAGGTGCTTTACAGACCATAGTTCAGTGGCACCACCTGTTAAAGGGCTCATTTGAGATGGATGAGTGACTCCCTCTGTCTATGTGGCAGACAGCTGAACATTAATTTGCTGCCATAATCAGAAGAGAGGCCTGGAGATGGGTTTTTTTTGGAGCAATAAAATAAAAACGACTGAAAACCGAATCACTTTCCATATGTCAGGTAAAATACAGCACTTTGGGAATATGCAAACAGCCACAGGCAAACGCATCATTTTCTTTCAAGTTTGAACATTTCCCAAACTAACTTCAAAATTACAGCTATGATATGTATTAGAGGTGGCGAATGACAATGTGCTGTGCTGCAAAGAGTCTCTCACGAATAAAATGCTATTTTTATCATTTCTTTACATTTTATAATCTGTTGCTGAGTAACCATTTTCCACGCTTTACTTGGGAAATGTCATTTTCAGTGACAATACTGCCCCCTTGAGGTTTTCCCTCTGCAAAGCAAAAACAGTTTTTCTAATCTTCTCATATTAACCAAGAAGCATCATCACTGCTGAATTTGTGACCGAGATCTCACAAAAACCCATATTTTATTTCACGGATGTGAACAGTTTTCTGGCAGTTAGTCGTGCAGAAATGTATTATTTGCAGTACTTTCATGCAAAACAAAGAAAATAAATTCTGTCCCCATACTACAGTAGCCTGTTTATAAGGAGAGAAGACAACTTTAAATTTCTTCTCAAGTGTGTCTTGTACTGCAAATCCTCATTGGTTATAGATTCATTTTGTTGGATTAAGCAGATGCTGTGCAGGTTAGACATCATGTAAGCACATTACCCTCAAACTGCAGTATGCAAATGTGTTTTTGAATGTGTCTTTAAACAGACACACCAAGTGATTGCAGAATAGTGCAGAAGGATTACCTTCAATTCAATTTATATAGCTCCAAATCACAACAACAGTCACTTCAGTGAAAGCACTTGGTGACAGTGTGAAGGAAAAACTCCCTTTTAACAGGAAAAATAACTTGAGCAGAACCAGGCTCAGGGAAGGGCAGCCATCTGTCATGCTGGGTGTGAGGATTGGGAGACTGTGTGGAAGAGAGCCAGAGAATAACTAATGATGTAATGCAAAGTGGTGGATAAACAGAGTGAAAAGAGCTGATCAAAGAAAGACTTGATGCACGATGGGAAGCCCCAATGGGCCTAGACTAATGCAGCATAACCTAACTGAGGGTTCAGCGTCACCTAAACCAGGCCTAACTCTTTTAAAACTTTTTTTAGCCTTATTTTAACTAACTTCTGCTGGTCAAAATTACAAATAAACTATGTATCCAAGGCGGATGAGTAAAATTCATTTTTGTCAACATAAATCTCTTAATACAAGATAAAGAAGTGCAATTTCTTTATCTTTCCTTATAAGGAAGAAAGATAAAGGTTTTCTACATTTTCTACATGCAGTTTCTTTATCTCAGGTTTTCTACATGACTGTGTAAAATACAGAAAAAGGTTCTGGTAGCTCACTGTCCAGACTGTCCCATTTTTATTAAATGTCTTTTTTTAAATTTACAGATTTTTTTTAAAACTCAAATGTCTATAGTTGATTTAAAAAAAACAAAACAAAAACAGGAATCTTTCTGTAATTTGTTTATCTATTAGTTAATTACTTTGGTTTAGTATGAATGGCTGCAAGGAACTCTCCATCAGCAGGAAAAGTGTTACAATTTATCAAAATACAGTTAAAAGTCAAATTCTTTCCCCAAAGCCTTCCAGTGTGCTGGATTGGAGTCTTTGCAAGGTCGATTCTGGCCCTCGGGCTGCACGTTTAACAGCCCTTTTCTAGAAATACTGCACTGATACTGTGCGCCTGGACAGCCTGGTAGCTTCAGACTTGAGAAAGTTTCAAAACTCGACATTTCTGTGTTATGTGGGAAACAAAACCAAAAGGCGCTTTTGTTTGCATACATTTATTACCTTCATAATATCATTTGAATGTTCGAACAAACATTTTTTTGCCTGCTTGACAGATTCTCTGAAAAGTTTATATCTGTACTACAATACAGTTAGAATAACAACAGCATCAACAGATGCCACAGTGAACAGAGCGTTGACCACATGGCAATGTTTATGCACGAATCCATCTTAGGAATATGGTGCAGAATTGTACGTTTCTCACGCAAAAACAATGACTGTAAAAATGAAAAGTTGTACAAAAGTTATGTTATACATCATTTCCTTAGTGGTTTACATTTACATTATAAATGTACCATTTGATTGCAGTACAAAGATTCCTTCAAATAAATCCCTTTGGGAATATTAATATGACTAATACAACAAATCAAAGACATAATTGTGAAACTATTCAATCAAGGGCAAAGACTAGGCAAGCTAGCAGTAAACCTTTTGACTTGGTGAGTCCCTTTACTGATCTGTGATCAAGCTGCAATAACATGCATCATCAAGGCAATATATATAAATTTGAAACATTCACTTGATGAGACAAGAACCTCTATTGCCCTCCGAGCAAACACATCCAAAAAAAAGTGAAGGATGAAAACAAATGTCTGCTAGGCAGGAACACGAGTCACAGCACTGGGAGAATCAGTGCTCAACATTATTTATCCATTTTCTTTTTAAATGTAGTACCATGTGGAGCAAAAGCAGCTCCGGGTTTCCTTGTAGAATAAAGAATCCCTTTCTACATTAAGCTTTAGCCTTCTTCATCTTCTTTAAGACTTCAAAAAAAACAATAAAAAACAAAACAAAAACAAGAATTTACCTGGTTTGCATAAGCAACCATGTCAGAATATCACTTAGTGTAGTGTTACTAACTTGACAACCACATTGAGAATGGCTCAAGTCAGATAGGATAGGATGCGAGATAGGACGGAAAAGTGGTTAAAAATGAGGGTTTTAAATCGCTGTAAATGAAAACAAAAAAGTGATAAATGATCAACTACTTTGAAACGATACGAGGATTGCTGCTGCTGTCTGTCATAATTAAATCTGCTGAGATAAACGTTTACGCACTTGCAGTGATAATTTTTCAGAAGTGTCTTGTACATACTTTAAGAGTTTATACAGGTCTTGTTCATTTAAACTAAGAATATTACTCAGTCTTAGCTTTTAAACCTACTGTACTGCAAATATAAACAAAAAGGAACAATGACTTCACAAAGAGGCTTTGAATTGCACTTGAAAAACGCTCTCATCATTGGAAGATGGATGTTCTTGTAGTTTAAATGCTCAGACATATTTTAAGAACATTACACAAAAAAACATTTGAGTTATCCAAAGTTAATGAACTGCTGGAAAAAAGGATGTTTTCCTTTTCAAAAAACACATGACTGAACATAATCCAGGGCTACAGAGCAAACACAAGCTCTGGTGATAAACACTGCCGCTGCATGCATAATTCTGTTACTTTTTTAAACACTGCTTAACCAGGTTTTGGGGATATTAGATTACATGACTGATAGTAGAAAATACCAGATTTTTATTTGTTTTCATCTTAGATCTCGCAGTACTTCTGGTGACCTTAGTTCTCTATTTGTGTCTCGCAGAACTATTAATATGAGACCATGTTGGCTGTGGGAAAACTGGTTCTTTGTGTGATGGCACTTCCTATCTGGAAAGTAAGGTCAGAACAAAATATTAGTGTTCTTAACGAAATTTCTTCCTGCTGGAAAAAAACGAGTTATGGATATTGGCACGTTTCACTATTAAAGGCAAGGCCTTGTTCTGTTAACAGGCCTCCTCTCCTTGCTCTAGCTGAAACTCTAAGCTAACAGAAAGATAAAAAAAAGTTTCAGATACACAGTAGACCAGATTGGGAGATTTAAGGCACATGGAAGGGGCCACAGAGAGGCCATGACTGGCAAAAAAGATAAAACAAAAGACCAAGTACTATAAACACAGAAGAAAAACCACAGAAAATTGCCTGTTGACACAATCAAAGAGGCCTACAAAGCTTTGCCTAACTGTCTCACATCTCTGCTGCTGTCTAATGGCACAGCCATGTTATGGCTCCAGAGACTAAAGGGCAGGAAATAAAACTAAAACTTACAAGCAAACTAATTACAAAAAACAAAACAAAATAATCATAGACACTCATTCATGAAAATATAAAAAAATACATATGTAAACCGATTACCAATAAACATTCCACTCATTTGCCTAAGATGGTAATAAAAACTAAAAAATAAAATCATAATGCAAAATGAATACAAAATACTTATTTTTGTCTCGTCTAGAAAGAGAAACTGATGCTCAACACAAACACTGATCTCGGAGGAATGTCCACCAATCGAAACACTGAAGGAGTCAAAGGTCACAATGAGATTTACTTTGGTTATGTGTTAAAGTTGATCAAGTCACCGCTTAGGTGCACTGACCTATTATTACTTCATTTGGTGCTGTGCTAATGTCACTGGTTAAGTGCTTACTTTTGGCTTGGTAGAAAATGCATCTGTGCTTTAAGTCAATAAAAAAATGCATAGTTTCATTTCAATCTAAGGAATAAGGCTCTCACAGGCAAAAATCTAGTATTATTAAAGTGCATGTCACTGATACAAGAGCATAATACAAATGCAGGTAGTACCAATGTGTAAAATGATGTACTAATCATTCTGCCTGTTCCCTTGAACAAAAAGTGGACAGAAATACTGGACAGAACCAAAACCACACCCTTCATATATAAATGCTCAACAAGAGACTAGTGGATTTATAAGGCAATAACACTGAACTTCATGTATCTGAGAAATCCCCTTTTTTGTTGTTGTTGGCACTTCAGGTAAAACTATGGCTTTTAAAAAAAAAGTATTCATAAATGCGCTATATGGCAATGCAACTTTGCGAACAGTCTCAATTCAGCTGAAGCTGAAAAAGGGTAAACAACCACTGAAACCTAGACGCCACTCTAAGATGCTGGACTCTGGTCTTCTTTATGGACGGTTCTCCGATGACTGGAGCTCTGGAGGCGCCTACCATCGCCCACTGACGCTGGCCATCTCAGCGTGAAACTGGCGGGAGAGGCGGCCGCTTGCCCCCCCTTCCAGGAAGGAGGACCTGATGGGTGGCTCAAATAGTTTCCTCCGGTTCTTGTTTAGTTCTGTGGGCAGGAAAAAAAAAAAAAAAA